CCATCATAGCCTGTTGATTACTGAAACGAGGTCAAACAATGCTGATGTGGTCCTCAATGAAATTGAGTTTGATAGCCCTGCTCTACTGCAATCACATTCTGATCAGTATTCATCCTTGCAGCTGAAGCACTAACAGGGCGAGAATCACATTTTCCTAATGACAAAATCAATGTGCAACAGGAATATTTCAAAAAAGAGGCTCTAGCCCCAAAAGAAAAATAGGAAATGTACTTTGGGAGTGGCTCAAATATACGTCTATGGAAATACTCAATCATCCAGATAGTGGTTGTCCCAAAGATGCCTTTTCAAAAGGCAACTGGACTTCCTTTGTTTTTGCTTGAAGACATTTCGCTTCTCATCTAAGAAGCTTCTTCAGTTCAGAACTGACAAAGCTTCTTGGATGAGAAGCGAAATGTCTTCAAGCAAAAATAAAAAGGAAGTCCAGTTGCCTTTTGAAAAGGGACCTTTGGGGTGCCCAAGTAAATGATAAAAGCTTTTATTCATCAAACATTTATACTATATTCTAACTTTACCTTGATTACCATGTTACAAAGCAGACTAGTTTTATGAATGGAATAATTTTTTATTCAGGAATATACTGAAGGCACAAAACAGAATAAAAAAAAATAGAAAAGATTCAGCATTACCTCATTCATCTCTTCTATATTGGTAATCATGACAATGATTGGAGAATGCTCCTGCCATACCATTCTCCAGAAATCACTGACAGTATTAACTATGGGTCCCTGAGTAGCAATGTACACCTTTTCTTCTCCTCTATAGCCCTAGCAAAAAAACAACAACAAAAAATCCAACAAGGTTCATGAATGCTGAAACATACGTATACCGCAGTCCTTCAGTTTTCATTCAGAAGCTGTTTAGTAAATTAGAAACAAATATTCTCACACTCACGCTGCACATCAAGTGAAACAAATAAGCACCAGCAGCAGAACTTTTATTTATACAAAAATGAATAGTTCCTATGGCAATAGGAGCAATTTATGCTATGTAAAAGGTATAGTTAAGCCAAAATTCATTTGAGTAGGGCTACAACTGGCACCCCGTTTTGGGGCCTTGTTGGATTCTAAAGGTTATGGTGGTAAGCATGACTGTCATTCACTATCAGAGATTGCTAGCAAGTCATACTTTAAATCACCGCATGTATATTTTACAACGTTGAGATTTGAATCTGTGTCTCTTGTCAGCATGCTGGAAGGACTGAAACGATTGTGGAATTCTGGAACTACTGAAAAACAACAGAGGCCTAACAAAAACACTTATATAGAAAAGATTCTCCGCAGCTGCCAGTCTTACCCTGATGTAATTAGCATTAATGTAAGAGCTGAGAGGATCATCTTCATCATCTGAGGTAAGGCACACCCTGCTGTGAGGATCTGGAAAATGGAAAGGAGCAATGATGAGTTATAGATTGGAAGGAGCAAAAAAGGTTTCCTCTCTCTCTCTCTCCCACAAAAATGAATTGTACAAAAATATTACACAGCAGACTTCAATCTGGAATTCTGAGAACTGGGCAAAGGTTTGATTTGAAGAAACACAAGAGCGACCCTTATGGTTTCAGCTAAAGATCTGCCTAATTCAGAATCTAATTCAGAATTCTGCTTCCCACAGAGACAATCCAGATGGCCCAGAGAAAGCATTCATTGCTTTTGCTCACCCACAGCTAATATTCGGTGGGATACAACCCTAGGGCTGCATTTAGATGCTATTACTGGTACCCATTAAGAGTTTTAACATCCCTTTCTAATTTGCCTCGCAAGCCATATTAGTCAATACTTTTACCACGTTTTGTGGCAGTGAACAGAACATAGCAGTGCTGAAGGAGCAGGGTGCTGCAGTATCTTTCACAATTAAGTGTTCTTTCCTATTGCAGAACTAATCATTATTAACGTTGCATGTAGCCAGGTCTAAATGCCAGTGCAAAGGCAGAGATTTGCTATAATTTTATAGGATTTAATGTTGTGCTGCGTTTGAGCCCCCTGAAAATTCTGAAATCAACTATTTTCATATGGTTAGGGTGGAATTTTTGAGACAAAAGGCTTAAAAGAAATTACCCACAACAAATCTGTAAATCCGCAAAAGAAATACAGTATGCATTAGCTGAATTAAAGACTATTATCATTTCTTTCGCTAAGTGCAATTAACTATAGTGTTGCAAACAACTAACTGATCATTAAGTTAAGTGCCTATTTATCTTTCAGTTCTAGCTGGAATGAACATCTATTTTTGAAATTTTTAAATATTTTATTTTATTTTCAGAACAACGTATTCCATTTTGTGGGCAACTTTTCTAATTGAAAACTGTTTAAAGCTTTTTTAAAGAATGGAATTGCAATTGTAAAGTGCTAAGACAGACCGAATGTTACAGAAATATTTCAAATAGAAGAAAAACACATCTCAGGAAGGATTTTGAACAGTTGATATAATTTTTTAGTCCATCTCATCAAAATAATCAGAATAATTATTGAGAACAGATAAATAGTAAATACAAACATCCAATGTAACATTTTCCATAATAAACATAATGCAGTTCAACCCAATAACCTTGGATACCTCCAAACAGAAATTCTAACGATTGGTCAAAATGGTATGATATACTAAAGATTTTGACCAATTTATCTCTCAAGCTCTGAGAGATACTGAAATCACTCAACATTCAATTTGTGAGATTCATAGTTACTGCCTAGGAACGTCACAGGTACAGGTAGTCTGACTTACAACAGTTCATTTTGTGACCATTCAAAGTTACCATGGCACTGAAAAAAGTGACTTATGAATGTTTCTCACTTACAACCATTGCAGCATCCCCATGGTCACATGATCAAAATCCAGACGCTTGGCAATTGACTTATATTTATGACGGTTGCAGTGCTCCAAGGTCATGTGATCACCTTTTGCGACCTTCTGACCAGCAAAGTTAATGGGGAAGCCAGCTTCACTTAACGACTGTGTAACTAATTTAACAACTGCACTGATTCATTTAATAACTGTGGCAAGAAAGGTCACAAAATGGGGCAAAATTCACTTAATAATTGTCTCGCTTAGAAACAGAAATTTTGGGCTCAATTGTTGTCATAAATTGAGGACTACTTGTACAAGTAGTCCTCAACTTACAACAGTTCGTTTAGTTATCGTTCAAAGATGTAAATGACAATTGATTCATATTTATGACGGTTTCAGTGTCCTAGGGTCATGTGATCCCCTTTTGTGGCCTTCTGACAAGCGAAGTCAACGGGGAAGCCAGATTCACTTAACAACTGTGTTATTAACTTAACAGCTGCAGTGATTCACTTAACAAATGTGGCAAGGAAAGTCATAAAGTGGAGCAAAACTCATTTAACAAATTTCTCACTTAACAACATAAATGTTGGGCTCAATTGTTGTCGTAAGTCAAGGACTACCTGTACTGCACTGCTGATCTTAATCCATATCCTTTGTGGGAAATTGGTGAACAATTCCAAAATGGTTCTGTAAGTCAGTGATCTTTCCTGACAATTGGAAATACCTATCTTAACCCACAACTCACCACTATGGCAAATCCCATCAAGTTTAAAAGTGTTTGTAAGTTCACAAACATACCAATTAACACATAGTTCAAAATGCTTCTGTACTAAAAATGGATTTCTATGTACTTACTAGGGAGAATTGTTTTGTAACGATTCTTTCGGACTAAACCTGGAATGTCATATTCCTTTGGATCAATAAAGTTCATTGGAATTGCCTGTTGAAAGATGCATCATAGAAATATTAGACATATTACAATACTAATAACTTTTCACTTAAAAATGATCTAAGTGCATTTTAAAAAAAAGAACACTGTAATACTTGTGAAAACTCATTCAATCCAGATTCAAAACCAATGAATTGAAGAATTTGACTAGTAAAGGAACTGTGCGGTATATTGAAAGCCCTTTTATTTTAGTTTAATATGAATGGGATTAAACTGTAATATTGTAATTTTTTGTTATTTTTAGATTTATATTCTATTTTTTTCCAGGAAGAAAAGCCAGTTTATATTGTAGCTCTACCTTTTCCTTATTAAAATATTCCTGGGCAGCACATTGCACTGGGACAGAGTGAATTTCTATGGCTGAACTTTTTTATGAACCTGAATCTAATATTTGTTGTACTAATATTTGTCCTACTGGCACTTTTTAATAACTTAGTTGATCGTTGGATAACCTTATAACAGCTCAAAATATACTTACTCCTCTGAAAAACAATAAAAAAATTCTTATTATACTTCTGACATATCAAATAAATCTATGTTAATTTTATGCACTTCATTACTCAAGATAAGACCAAGGGGAATGCAAGTCATTAAAAGCACCGCTGTACAAAGAATAGTAAAACTAATCAATTTATTTTAATTACTGTGTGATATTTATAAATGACTCTGTGTGTTCTGATGATGCAGAAGTCCCATCTGGTGATAATATAAATAAGGCTGGAAAGCACTGTTGCAGCAATGCTACTAGGAAGAAACCTGCAACGCTTCATAAAAACAGGTGCAAGAATATGTAGGTTTTGGGTGTGTGCAATGGATCATATCTTAAGTTAAGTTAGTCAATACTGTGAGATTAAGGATAGGAAATTACATTAACAGGAAATGTTCCCTGCATTCAGCCATTTTTTCTATACTTCAAGTCACATTTCCATTCTTTCAGATTTCCATTCTTACTATATGCCTCTACTCTCCAGTAAATGAATAAAAATCTGATTCTGATAGATGCTAATGCTGTATGCTGATGTACTGTATAAGTTTATTTTTGTTGTATATTTATGAAATATAGAAATAATGGTTGCTTTTGCTTCCTTTCAAAGCTGTTCTGCTTTACTAAGGTCATGTCTCCTAAATCTGTTCATATTTCCTCCCTATTCAGCCATAGGTGGGATATATTTGAAACTTTCCAAATGCAGAGATTGGTTTGAATAATATGTTAAATGTGTCTGCTGAATGATGTCCTAAAGGGAAGGTTGTTTCCAGAAATCCATGCATGAAATGAGGGGGTTGAGCCATCCTTGAAATATTTCCAGATCCAGATCCAGGGCACCAAAAACACATTTTCCTTTCTTCTAATTAGATATCGCCCAGAGCAGGGGGGGTTGAACTCAAGGCCTGCAGGCCAGATCCGGCCCACTGGGTGCTTAGATCTGGCCTGTAGG